GTAGACTTTATTCAAGGGACGGATGGTTGGTTGTCACATAAGTCTTCTTCAATACGACGAATTCAACTAAACAATCAACCAGCTCAACGCAGTGTCGCTAATCACTTCAGCGTTATCATTTCGCCATTTATCATTCAGCAATTCGTCACTCTCACATTAATCACACATTTACAATCTCTTTTAATCGAAACCGTTTCACCGCTTTGAAACACTCTCAATCGAAATTTTAAGTTATATTGAGGTCGTTCCAGCACAGCCAACTTCCAATGACAAACGTAATCCTATTCATACTCAAACTTACAATCTATCTTATACCGAGTCTTTCATGAAATAGATTCTGATTCGCTTAGCATCTTACAACTGAAACATTGGAACATAGCAAATTTGCGTTGAACAAAGTGAATATCATAGCAACAACTGTTATTTAGTAGCTGACTGAACACCATTACCGTAATATGCATTAAATCTCGCCGTACAGAGAATTCCAGCAACATGCTATACTGAGCCGCAGAAGCCGTTAAAATTCTCTACTCATAAAAAAGTATTCATAACCGATATTAATAATAACAATAATAACAATAATAATAATAATAATAATAATAATAATAATAATAATAATAATAATAATAGTAGTAATAATAATAATAATAACAATAGTAACAATAATAATAACAGTAATAATAATATTATTAGTAGTAGTATCATTATTATTGTAACTATCAATATTAGTATTAGGATTATTATGATTGCTATTATTTGTATTAGTGTTGGTATTAGAATTGGTATGTTTTCGCTATTTCAGTGTGCACAAATATCAGAGAGATAATGCGTTTTGTTATTACTAACAGCTATACAATTCAATGATAAATTTCGATTCGATCACCGTTATATAATGAATTATTCAACTTCGATTTCAAGTAACAGTATTCAAGTTCGATTTCATTCAAATGAAATGTTTAATCAAAGCCGAAAGCATTGATTGCCGAACACTTCAGTCTAATTGAAAGTGAGAAATGCACAATAAAAGTGATCTGCAAGGGAGTGGCGGATGTGCAACTGCTGATCAAGCCCAAGGAGTGAAATAACATGGAATCGTTCTAGAAATCACTTCATTTTCTGCGAAGTTCAGATGGAGTATCAACCCAATAGAAAAGTGACTAATCCACTTGAAGCGAGATCACTTCTGATCGTATATCCACTTCACTCGCAAATTCCGAACGCAACAACGATCTAATCAAGCAACACCACTTATCAGATCGCTACGATGCAAGATTGTCATTCACAATCTACGCATCTCATATCTGCAGATCTGACCCAAACTCAGCGTTGCCATAAATCCTGGTTCATCGATGTAATCAATATCCTATAACCTTCACCCAGTCATAAATATCCCTCATAAACGTTACCGATTGCGATCATTTGATCATCAATTAGGCTGCATAAATCTATTTATAGCACAAATCTTCCAACTTCAAGCCTCCAATTATATTCGTTTTACAATGTTTTCGTTCCATTTCCGCCAGGTTTTATCAACGATTCATCACCTCGCTATTGATAAATTCATTTCCTATCGAATTACGACCATTCAAAATGTTTCACAGAAACTATTGTATTAATTCCGTGTCCAGTTATTTCACCTAACGACACTTCGCCTAATGCCATTTCGCCCAATAGATATTTTGCCTAATGAACTTTTCGCCTAATGCTTATCGATATTATCAGCTCTATACATTCAGAAGTTTTCCGATCTCTTGACCTGCTTTCGGAAGTTCTCAGGGTTGTTTATTTCGTGATCTAGTTATAGAGTATTCGTACTTTAAACAGTGTTTATTTTATTGACTTTGTTGGGCATGAATTACGTAAATGATTTGTTTGGCCTTGCATTATATGTAACTCGTCCAAAAAGTCTGTGATCTTTCCTTGTGAGGTTGATGCTTAGGCTAAGACTGAAGCTGATGCTTAGGCCTAGGCTGAGGTTGATGATTGGGCTCAGGATGACATCCATCTCTAGGCCGCGGCCGAACTTCTGGTAACGCTGTGGCTATACATGGAGAGGAGTTCCTTTACTGAACCATCCGCTCGATGAAATGGCCACTATGCGAAGTGTTGGTAGGCGAAATATCCATTGGGCAATATAACCTAGCACCAATCAATTCATCAATAAAAAGATCAAAACGTTGTTAAAAAATATCAACAGTGAATGGGGGAAGACTTCAAAATTTGAAAAAAAACTGGAAATTATACGGAAAGAGTTGACCTTTCTGTGCATTGTCTGCAAAATCAGATGATTAAGATTGGAAGGGAAATAAGCAATAATGTAAACGTAAGCACAGAATCATTCGTTTACAACAATCGAGTAGCACAGCATTCAGACGCTTGTTCAATCATCAGCTAATGAGAAATACTTAATCGAAATCGAGATGACGAAGAGTCGAGAGCAAACGAAAGAAATATCATGCAAACACCACCATACAGCCACCCTAGATGATAACCGAAACGAATCAATCAGACAGTTCCACAGAGCAATATTGCTTCAACATTTTTGCCGTTACACGTAACCATTTCATCATATTATGGCTTAACACAGTCACGACGACAACAACAACATCAACAGAATAGTCAATTAGGAGAAGCAATCAAAAAATTTTGTTCAATTTTGACTGTATTATCTGGAATTTACTGTGTTTATTATGAATGATGAGATGAAAATACTGAATGCTGCGTACAGTCAGTCATTCAAGCATATGAAATACTGTTGATATTGAGTCTATGTGACAGTAGAATATATGAACCGATAACACAGAAATAAACACAAATTGTAGTATTACTTTTAACGAGAACACATCGCTGCGGCTGTCACTGTCACATAAAGCTTTCACCAAGAAAGCAGTCGGGCAAACAGCACAACACTCTTTTGAGCATTCGTAACGATAATGCCCGTACAACAGCAGACTTTTAATGTTTGGTCAACCGCAAGAAACATACTAGTTTGCACACCTCTGCACATCCTACCGCCTAACAAACAGTCAGTTTTCAAACTGCGAATAATCATCATATTCCGTGAAATTTCCTCACAACAAAGCTGAATTTATTCTCCTTTTATGTTTTGTAAGAGAAGTATGCTATGAATATGAAAGAGAAAAATGCTCAGCAACAGAACAGTCNCAGTCGTTGATTGGTGTCAGTGGAATGGTTTCATCAAATCATTTGCGAATTTTATGATATTCGCTTTGGGAGTTTCGAATTATGATCGTGAAAAATAATTTGAGACCTATTTTCAAATAATAATGGAATGTGATTTTTTACATTCGTTTACAGCTATCGTAATCTGGGTCATGAATTCATATTACATAATCACAATCGTGCACTTATTGCACAAGTAATCATTCTGAAATGGTATGAAATGTTCCATATCTATCGTTTCAAAATTATAATTCATAATTGAAGAGTACTTCCAACCGCAAAAAACATTTAATAATACATGCAATGAATAAGTCCGAATTTTTTTAAAGAATCTGATTTAAAAATTTGAATCTTTCAATTCGAGTGAGCGATTACCGATGATAATTGGCAGTTTACTGTCCCAAATACGTTGGGTCAACGTCCCAAAATAGTTTTTCTGCAAGAATTTTTGAACAAAATTACTTTCGATGCTCCAAAAAGGTTTACGTATTACTCGATGTGACAGTTGAATGCTATTCTCTGGCTTTGAAAATCGTCTTATTCGGACTTATTCATCGCTAAGCCACCAATGTTTCTGCACGACTCCCAATAACCACATTCGAAATTTGAATACTTCAAACAAGGATTTAAAACTTCATTGTCAGAATGATTTAAAGGTAGCAGGCGAACTGATCTGCTAAGATTTCTTTCCGGTGATACAGCCAACTCTCAGTGCGCATATAGTCGATGAACGATAAGTAATCGAACGAAGAAAACTGAAAGGAAGGCTTTCCAAATGAAGCCAAGAGCACAAACTTTGTGGACGATCGGACGAAAGGGTTTGATTTGGAATAGACAAACAGCTCTGCGAGATATATACGACATAAATGGATGAAGGATTTCTGAAGTGAAAAGGAAGCAACAACAGTGGACTGTATTTGCGGGTGAGCATAATGGATCTCTGTGCAATCGCTTTGAGGAAGGTGGTAGTTAATCGCTGTGACGACGATGGTATTTGGCTAGTAGAGGAGCGGAGTAAGGTCACTGGATATAAGGGTGATTTGTTTGTTTGTATACGACGGCCATATATAAACGATTATTGTATCGTTTATAGGTAGATGCATCCATTGATCAATGATTGACGCAAATACGTAAATAACGATATATTTTGTATATAATTGTACTGTGTTTGTTTATGTGAAATGGGTATCAGCACTATCAACAACATGCTGATGCATCGTCGCTTGTGCAAAATACCGATTGAGGTTTGACTTACTCGCACATAAACATTATCCGTATGTGTGACGCATGATTAGAACAATCGCAGCAAAACACTATAACTCGGCAAGTATTTCCGTTAACCCTTGTACACCGCCACAATCAACTCATTAACCTTCCAATAACCACTTTATAATTCCTACCTTCGGCAGTTTGTTTACCAACCAATTAAGGTCTTAACTTCGGCAGCCCACTCTTTCAGTTTGTAGTCACCGCTTATTCAATACTCAATCGGCTGTAAAACTTTTGAGCTGAGCCTAGCCCGCATTCTCCTTAACTCTACGGATTTATTGTAGCCCACAGTTCTCATCTGCAGCTTGCAATTTCGGACGAAGCAAAATGAAGAATACGGTCGATCGGTCAAATAGTCAGTTAGGCATAAAAGGTATTGAAATTCGAAAAACAACACCAGTAATGAATGGATAAGGCATATTCATGCTCTAAGGAGACTGGGCAAAACCTGGGCAGTGAGTGCACCACATGATTGTAGCATTCCATACGTTCGTTCTAATTTGAGACAGGTGTACTGTGGCTCAAAAATCGCCGAGCACTCGTAGCACTCACTGTCGATAATTCGCTTGTTCACTGGCCAAAATGTCGAATAATTCAAACCTTTCCACATCAAATGCCCTCAACTCGATGACCGCTTCAGCAGTTCGTTCATTGAAGTAGATCACTTTCGATTCGTATTGTTCCGCGACGTTGTTGAACATCTCAATAGCCAAATCACTTTTATTCAATTCACTCAGCACAAAATATGCGCTATTCGGAAAGTCAATTACAACCTGAACGAATAACGATTACTCCATCGCACCATCATTGATTAACTCATTGCTGATCTTTCGTTGAATCTGCTCATATTTCAGAGCATCTGAATGGGCTACACGGAACGAAAAGCGAAATGTCTTGTGCAGAAGTTTTTGATGATGAAACAACGAACATTCGTATGTTCTATATCAGATCCCAGAAAAGACTCGACAGAACAGCTCTCATCAACATATTCGGTGATTTCTTTGCATGTGTTTTTTGGATGAATTAACTGCACTCGCCAACCGCATCGCGTTAGTTTCGTTAATACGGGTCGATACGAGTTCGATGCACCTTCAATTTCGTTGTCAACTGATTGTTTGGTACTGATATCAACGAAACCGGGTTAACACTGCACTTATGTAATGCTTTAGACCACTGCTTTCAGTAAGCGTTGCAAATAAATTCGAATTTTCTATCCAAGCCTGAGCTGAACTCTCACATGCGATTTTTTATGCCGTGTTTTAAAGCAACGTTCGGCTATTTGATCGAGTAAGTATGTTGATCAATATGCTCGGCTGACCTGATATAAGAACGACAACACCAGGGTCATAGTCGACATGAAAACGATAAAGTTTTTTACTCAAACCCCACGCTGATTCTTGTGCTTCCACATGATGAATATCAACATTCTGAATGTAATAGAACGTTGTTCGGACAACATTAAGTGATTTTAATGGAATATCAAAACAAAGTGGTTATTCCGAGCATATGCATAACGAGATCTGATAATCGTCCCGTCAAGAAATTCATCATAAACATCCCGTTTAGGGTGTCAGAATGAATGTGACTATACTTCTGTTACTAGCACCCAACACAGATGCTTGCTGTTAGCAGTTGTTGAAGTTACATAAATGAAGTTTTCAAATTAGTAAGACCTGTTGTGCTTACATACTGCCTTTTTATTGTGGAAGAATCAACGAATAGTGTCTGAACTAACATGAGATTTCTCAATTTCACGTGTGATTGCCGCAGGTGTTATTCGGGCATCGCAAAATACCAAGAAGGCACATTCACGGCGATGTTGTTCTCTATTTGAAATTATCATTGATCGTACCTACAAAACTGACACTCGTCTAAGCCTAAACTATGCGATTCTCTTGCAGACAATCACTGCCTGCCTTACGCAAAAATGAAACTTTTCAGATCAGTTTGTTTTCGCCGATTTACAATTTCGCCTCCCGGCACAATGTTAACTAAACATCAAAACCGTTAAATGATGAATACGATCCAGAATGTAAGTGAGATGCGATGCAAATAACACGAAAAAAATCTTCGAAAGTTTCAATTTCAGAAGAAAATTGAACAATAATTCGTTACTTTTTGTATGAAGACAGAAATTTTATGGATTGGCAAATTAACTGAACTCCAATCCCATAATATCACAACGGCTATTTCACGTTGATCGAAAACTGAATGCTCCATTGTAACATTCATTAATTATCTGCATTCTAAGCATTAATTTAACTTTCAATATTCAAAGCATTCAAAGGTTTCACTTTTTGTAGATCAGACATTGGTGACTGATCAGATTTGATGAATTTTTGGCAAACACTAAAAGAAAAGTGAACTGTTCATAACTCAAAATCTTGACTCTATTACACATTGTGAACATTCGAATGAGCCCGATTTCCATGTGAATATACATTTTCATTTCATTGCCATCAAATCAAAAATACATTGTATGGATGCCGATTGGTGAGCAAAATTGAAATTCTTGATGGCTTGCGTATGCAAGTAACTCAATTGAACAATGCCAATAGGTGAAACCGAAATACGAGAAGCACAAAGTGTGCGATCGGAATAGCGTCAATTCAAGGAAGTCATACCTATAAATTGAATTTTTAAGAACAGTTGGTTGATTTTCAACCAACCGATAACACTGAACTCAACAACAATGAGTTGATTCCGAGGCAATCAAGCTAGCTTGTCGCTCTATGAATATAGGTAATGAATAAGTCACGTGATGATCTATGAAGATTTCAACATGATGCAATCAAATTATTTCATTTGTCAGTAAGCAAATTTGTTGCGAAGCAGTGTTTTGAATTTCTATTAGCTGCAAACCTCACAAGCAGCATTTGACTCATTCAAAATTCTTAAATTTTTCAGCAATACCGAGCGAAATACAAAATGATTATGTGTTAAAATTTAGTAGAAAAGTACAGCTGGTGATGATCAAAATGCGGTATATGAAGGGTGGACTACTTCAAAATACCAATAACAACTCTAAACAATGCATCTTTCATGTGTTCACGTTCAATTCCTTAGATCTTCTCGTCAATGCACAAACAATGAAATGTATGCTGGTGAAACTCTGACTAGAGTACTGAATGAATGTGTGCGAGAAGACTATTCATAGCAATAACAATTTTAACATGCCCTGCAAAAGTCTCACTCAATAAATCAATCATAATAACAAGTAAACATAAAAATAAACAAACAAACATCGCCAATAAACGATCAAAGTCAAAGTGAATGTGCAAACAATTCTTAAAAACATAAATAAGACACGTATGAAGACGACGAACACATAAAAACAATAACAATAGCGAATACGATTGTTAAATGATTCAATTATTATGCAAATCAAACTGAGTTGCGAAAACGTTCGCAACTTTCCAACAAAGCACCGCATTCAGAGCCAACCGTACAATAACCAGAGATAAAATTTAAAACGAAGAATCATTCAGCTTCAGATTGCTCGTCCAAATGCGGGATTGCATCTGATGAGAATTTTCAGTTCGTGAAAACCTTCCCACCAAGTTTCCAAGAAGCCAGCCGGACCCAGCAGATAGATACGAATAACATGGGTTTACAACAAATCATGTAGATTTGTGGAGCAAATTAAGCGTTATGCGAAATTTGGTTTGGTAGTCATTAGGAGGGATTTTGGGGAAATGATCCGCGCTGAGCATTATTACATAAGGAAAAGGCGGATAATAGAAGTGAAAGAAATGAAGGAATTACAGTCAAAAAGAGGTATTATAACGAACGCATTGATACAGATTACAATTATGGAGAAATGTTAATGATGATAACGACGATTATGAGCAAGTTCGATTCTGCATGATCATTGGTTACATTGCAAGCACTACTCACATGAATCAACGCAAACCTCTAGTTCCGTATGAAATATTTCTTGAAGAAGACGCACACAGATTGAACAGACAGAAAGAAAAGTCGCAATATGAAATGAAGCAATAATATCGTTACGTACGCAGTCTTTCAAACAACAGAAATCTTCAGCTCCACAATGNCATAGACGGGAATAAGTTGACATTCGAAAACGCTCGACTCATTGAAATGCGCTCCTAAAAACGTGATATGACCGGAACGAGATAAGCTTCTGAATGCTTTCACTCGTTCGTCAGCGCACTGCACAATACACCGAATTTCCCTACTCAGTAGCTATGTAATACACGAATACCGTTCCGCCGAATTAATAGAGAGAACAACAATGAATTTTTGTTCAGTACTTAGCATTATAATGCACGGTTCGACAAAAGGCGAATGATTATAATCCCGAGAACATTGCGAATTTTACAGCGCTATAAAACATTTGAAAGTTAACAACAAGACTGCGTTGAAAATATACCATGAAATGCACTGGTGAGACTCAGTTATTGGAGAGATTCTGTCATTTATTTGAGAGAGAAACAATCTTCTCAACGGCTAAAAACTCACGAAAATTGATTAATTCATCAAGAATTCCAGTCGGTTCAAATGAAGAGTAACAAACAAAAGGTGACGTGAAGTTAGTCATTAGTTGCAGGCTGAAAGTCACAAAAAGCTGCAAAATTGAATCAGTATTACGCAAGTTTCTGACGGCGTTTCATTCACCGACTGCACACAAGAGGTATTTGAAAGTGATTTTTGTGGAATACGGAGCAGATAAATATGTATAAATGAACGAGTCTGATGAAAGATCAATTGCACAATCTGAAATACCGCACATATCTATTCTCTACCTATAAAATTTTATAAAACGCACTAAGCAAACAAAACGAAGTGAATTGCAGAAGGCGTTCGATACTTTTGAGTGAAAAAGTGAAAATAAATTAATCAAATGTACAAATATGAATGGTAATAATAAGAGCGATTTCGATTTAATGTAATCAATACAATATCTTTCAGTAACAATGAAACAGCAGAAAGTTCTTGGAACCGATCCATAGCGTGCAAAACATAATACATTTTCGTCGAACAACTCCGATTAAACCTACACCAATTGACGTGCCTCAAAAGGCGCCCCAGCACGGCAAAGTTGACAACTGAGACGTTAGCAGATGAATATGATTTGATTAATGCTGGTTCGCTGGCGCTCCATTGCCCGTCATAAACGTAGAACCGAATGCTGAAATCATCTTCTATCATTATTCATCATTACAGATTTTACATTCAGCTAGCTGTGATAACATTCTTCCCCAATTGTAATACATTCAGTTTCTCGCTAGAAGTTTTCTGCAAAGCTCGGACTCTATCAGATACAATCAAGACTCACTAAAAATCCTAGTTTACGAAGTAATGCAACAAAAAAGGCAGTAATAATCTGAAAGAATAATCTTGCTGGTCAAAGCAGAGGGCAAAATGAATCAAAGCTTCATCAATTCAAACAAACAAACGCGGAATATAACCCACCTGCGTAATGAGTGCCCCGTGGTCGGCCGTTGTATGTTGAAGACAGTGGCAAGACGCCACCCGAATTCATCCGTTCAGTTTCCCAATAGTCACGAACCTCATCCATATTTTGCACTTTCTTCGGCGCACGACCCCGTCGTTGTGGTGTTGGTATTGGAGTTCCGTTGGCTGCAGCAGCAGCTACTGCTGCAGTTCGTGCCGCACCTGCTGCGGCCATACCCTGAAATTAAGCTCGTTCGTCATTTCTTCAATTCGACACTTCAATGAATTGCATGCCAATCGCTTAGTCCCACATACACACACACACATCGAAACGTGAGCACAGAGAAAGTTCCCTACCCCATATAGCCTCTTTGCGATAATTCTATTTCTGCCTCGCCATATTCTATACGACATTCTATTTTTTACTGTTCCATTACATTGTTATAGTGTTAATGACGTTAAAAGGCAATATTGTTAACAACTGCGCATAACCGACGACTAATATATCGCATTGTAATACACCAATACTGTTTTTAATGGGCGCTGAAATGATTTCCGCAACATTTAAAAACAAAAACTCACCACAATATCAGCTTTCCGCACTGTAACACTACCAATTTGATTAGCTGCAACGGCGTTGACAATATCTTCGATGTAACTTGCTTTGATTGTTTTTCGATCGCTTTCACTTTGACTCTCACTCGAATTCTGTTCAATTTTCACTGGCAGTAGTTGTTGTTGCTGCTGAGCATTGGTGTCATTCACTTCAGTAGAAGATGGCATTTGTGTTTGCGCTAAATTGCCGTTTGTTGGCGATTTTAGCTGAGCTGAATCTTCAGTGCCTATCGATAATTCAACACAATTATTACTATTCGTCGTTGATGAATCGTTTGACTGAGCATCACTGAAAACGAAAAATCAAATCAATAAACCATAAACATAATCAGATATAAGCCATCGACTCAAGCTCGATCACTTCAAACATGTTATCACAACATTAGATTTGAAGCGACACTACAAAAATCACGCATATATCGATGTCAGAGCGCTCCGCCTTTCATGCTGTATTATTGCTTGTACTTTTTTTTACTCGGCAATAAACTATCATATCATATCATATTGTTTATGTTCCAAACGAATGACAAAATATCATTTTCATTCGCTGACTGCTTCAGCAAGAAGAGCGTCGCAACAGATAAACAAAACGTGAAGGATTGCATTCATTCACAATTGCACAACGTCAATTCAATTATCACTTTTCGTAAATTTCGTAAAAAATGGGATGATANCAAACGAATGACAAAATATCATTTTCATTCGCTGACTGCTTCAGCAAGAAGAGCGTTGCAACAGATAAACAAAACGTGAACGATTGCATTCAATCATAATTGCACAACGTCAATTCAATTATCACTTTTCGTAAATTTCGTAAAAAATGGGATGATAATTTCGAATCACTTTCAGTTCGTAAATTCATTTCATTACCTTTCGAATTACGAATGAACTTCAAAATTAGTAACTGACTACAAATCAGATCAAATTCACAGTCAACTGAATTGATCGTTTAATGGAAAACTGAGTAATCCAATCTGTCGTCAGCTGTTGTTTCGCTACAACCTTGAAGAAATACGGAAATGTCAAATGAATCCCAAACGCTGACATACCTTAACTGAACTGACGAAGCAGTGAACTGGTCGTGATTAGTATCGGTATTATTCGTATTGGACGCAGATTCAGTGTTCTTCATTGCTTCATCATTATTCATTTTAGGTCTTTTTCGGCCATCATAAGCATCCTGAAATAAACGGGAATTCGCGAGATAACTTCAAAATTGCTTAGAAATGAGGTAGCGTAACAGATAACGAGAGCCGAATGGACACACCAAAACAGCCTTTGTACGCCGACCCTTGCACGCTCTATTGTGCAGTTCAGCATTTTCAGCGCAACGACTCGCTCTGAGACTATCGATTCCACAGTCTTGTAATTCCTCATCCGCCAAGCTATGACATGTGCTGAGATGTCGTTTCATATTACCCTACAACATGCCATCTTCAATTCAAATTCTAACACTTCAACGCTCATAGAAAGTGAGTAAAACTAAAATTTGTGGAGGAGACTGAAAATTTCGCATTGTAGATATGAAATAAGAATAGCATGTCTTGTGCGCGAAATAGAACACAAATGGATGTATTTGAGTCATTCTTCAGTCAATATGAATGAAAGTGAATGGGATGATAATGACGATGATAACAGTAAAATAATTTATGATAATGCAAATAATATGTCAACAAAAGATTGAGGATGAACCTTATAGAGAGTGGCGAAATCGCACAACGAACATAAATACGGATCATCAGGACCCTTGGTCTCCGAATTATCCAACTGATTCGAATGAACTGGTGGGCTACTGGTAGAGTCGAAACCATTCATCCACTCTTGATTCGATAAGGCGTGTGGTTGGTAACCGTCGTAGAACGCGTCGTTACTTTGACTGCCGCCTGGGATATAGTCCGAGCCATCGCCCAGATAGTCGACGGACGATTGTGGCGTTGATGAGGATGACGATGCTATAAACGAATCTTCTCATATTTTTCACTCAGCAAATGTTTTTATTTTGATACACTTCAGGCAGTACATGGAATCAGACTACTCCATCTGTTATCAAGGCATCAAAATTCGGGTTTGTCGTTGAAGTAATGACCTCGTAGACGAAACCGCTTTCGCAGAATATGGCACAAGTTTCAACTTAATTATCCACTTACTTTTTCGATTTGATCTTTTCCTTCTCGGTTTTATACATTTCATACATTGATTTACATGCCTTCGAATATTTCCCTGCAATTGTTTTATATTTACATAAAATAACATGAGTGTTTACGTATGTTACAGCTGAACCTATTGACGAACTATTATCAATATGGTATGCCAACCTTGTAATGACTGATGAATCGATCACAGTAGGGGCAGATTGGACTGAGTGAGTCTTGAGCTGAAGGTGAACCTGACATTCCAGTTAACGATTCTTTCGCCACACCACTCAGATGACCCAAATAACTTCGCCCTTAACAAAAATGCAGATATAGTCATCAAATTACGCCTGACATACGCTAATCAAAACATATTTCACGGCGATGGACACGTCAAGATCAATTCCAAGTGCTGACTCGAAAGAGTAGATGCATACCGATAATCTCTCTGCACTTCTCATTGCGACCAATATGACCGGTTAACGAGCGCCTTGACGGATACACACCTCGACATGCCATGCACATCACGCGCTCATCGCCTTCGCTCTCACCGTCAGCACCTGGAGTATCACGACCTGAGCAACCTTTAAGTTCACGTGATTCAAAAGAAAAGTTCGATAAAATAGCGACCGCACGTGAACGTCGTTTTGAATTTTCACTCGTAGTGGAAGTACTTGGATAAACGAACAAAGTAATCACTCGATTTATCACAAGGATGCATTCTTTAATTTCACTGCTCAGAAACGTCGTTGAATGCCTTCAAAAATAACTTCGATGTTTTAACTTACTTGACGACAGCGGTATTTCGGCGACTTCTCGAAACGATATGGTATGGAACTCTTGAGTGAAACGATGTTTTTCTTTCCGTTTCGCCTTCTTCTCCTCTTCCTTTTTGCGTTCTTCATCCGCATCGACGATATTCTCGACTCGTTGCAAATCGGTGACATTCTCAGCATTCGCTTGCACCATTCCATTCGTATATGTTACTATTTGATAGCTGAATTTATGTCATTTATTCATAACGTATACCGCATTCTTTCGTACTGTTTTCTGGATTGAATGGCTTGTAAATGGTGTGAAATGCTTGTAAGTGTAAACAAACTTTTGCTGTTGCTGCAGTTGTTGCTGAGGAAATGTTGTCTGAAGGACTTGAACGGGTTGATTTGAGTACACAGGATTTGTGGCTTGAAGAGGAACCTCAAAATCGCATAGTGTATAACCTCTTGTGGCAATGCTAGGCTCTTGTGATAATGCTGATATGACGCCAATGCATCTTATCATACTAAATCTCCAGGTGAACGAAGCACTGCCCAATTGGCTACTATTTTGTGAATTCAGTCGAAACGAAAATGTTACAAATCTCGCTTAATTGTTATCAAAACATGGCGATCATAAGTACTCATACAAGGTAATACACTTCAGTGGTGGTATTCACATAGACAATTGAGTGGAAGGTCAGTTCATGAACTAAGTTTTCGGCAAAAGTTTGTTTCGAATACCGGACATTTTTTTAAAACTCAGCGGGTTTTTCGTCACGCTTAAAAGCGAAATTAGACTTGCGAAAGAAGTTACGATAGAATTTTGATTGTTTCTCGGCAGTCTTTAGATTATTGAGCATAACTCGTCAATTACTTTTGAGGTTCGACGTTATGTATCTGTTCATTACTTAAATTCGTAATGTTCTCATTAATGGGTGAAAGTTGCGTTAATGAATTAGCATTTGAGAAACAATCGTAGAATGATCATTTCGTTTGCAATAGATTTTAAGCTGAAACTAATTTCGAACATAACATTCGCACTTTTCCAGTGAGATCCGAGCTCTAGGAATGACCCGTCAATGAGACTATTGATATTTAACACTATCAATATGAAAACACAGCAACAAATTTCGTTTCGGGTCGGATGCGACGAGTTAATTCATTTTCCAATGATTACAAAGGGGAACCATTCTTCGGCTTACAAACGAACTATGTTCTCGAACTGAGTTTACACTGAAGTTTAATTGTGAGGAAAGATACACTGACTTAAAACGAACTTGATTATTACTGTTGTTATTATTATTAGTGGAATAAGTGTATGTTTCATTGGGTTGGTAGAGTGGCTTCTCTGGACGATATGATGATGAGGACCAATCAGCGTCCGGTACAGCGTTATCGCCGGAGAGCATCGCGAATGTTGACGAAAATAATTCAGTGGTTCCTGATATGTGACCTGAATTCGACATCTCAAAGTAATACTGACCGATTTTGTCACATTGAATGAAACGATCACAAGCAATTTCATTTGACTGCAGTCATCATTTTTTGAATTGCAGTTATGCTTTTTGAGAGTATAAAAAGGTAGATGTCATCAAAGTATACAATGTTCACTCCGAATCGTTATTCTTGAACTTTTTCTCTAGTAATTCAGGTATCGCCATCTCCAATTTCATCTCCTTATATCCCATGACATTCTCAAATCCCATTACTTTCTGTTCGTTATATTCGTTTTTACGTTCGTGAAATCCAAAATCCAAGAAGCCCAAAATCCAAATCCAATCTTTTGAGAAGAAATAATTTAAGAGCGATGCTTCAGATTAGTGGTATAATTTGACTCTTTGGTGGGGCTTTAACGGTAAGATATCAATATCAGATGTTGAGAGGAATTTTTAAAAATTAGAGCTCATCAGAAATGAGCGTACACATGAATAACAAACCGTTCACTGCATCTGCTGAACACTTCATCATCATCGCTGGTGCCGAATGGAGCGTAGGACAGTACGCTATTTGTGGCATATTTGATAGAACTGCCTTTAATTTCAACTGATTATGTTTTGAAATAGTTGGTCACTTGGGAACGTTTGCATCATTGATATACAACAGTGACTTGTACAACTGTTTCTATGAGAACACAGATAAAATTTTGCTTTTGGGGAAGGCGGAGGCTAATTGAGATTTTTTTGTTGTTGAGTGATTTTTTATTAGTGACGAGTGATTTCTTCTTCATAATTCTCTCACAGTTGTTCAGCACTATTCTCAAAACACATTGAAATTTGACTGTGTTGATACGACTGACGAATCCTTAATGGAAAACATCACAGTGATTGAATCAGTTTTTGAGGCATATCGCCCACATGGATTAGAATGTTAGAGGAAGGGAATACTAATCGAACAAAGGTGGACGTGAAGTGTAAGATATGTTTCGAAAAACGAATGAGTGGCTTCAAGTGGGNGGCTCGTCAGAGCACAAATTTATGTGATCACTGCATGTAATGATATTACTCGATGACTAAATCCAACTGGCTGCTCAATGATTTGTTGCAGTGGTTTGGTAACCCATTCAGTTTTGCTAATGAATTCCTGATAACATTCAGCTGCCAAGTGGGTTCTGAATTACAATAGGCGATGTTTGCTCAGTATTTCCGAAGTAGTTTGTGCAGAATCGCTTGTTTGACTGATAGTGAAACGCATCAAGTCTTCTAACAAACAAGTAAGTCATCATTGAAGTATGTGGCGCCCATAAAATTCACTAATAAGGATATAAAAAATTTGGTGGAGGTGTTAAAAGACCCATGTAAATGGCGAATTTTAAGAGGAAGATGAGCCTAGGTGTAGGCTTAAATCCCAGCGTAAAAGCAAACAGATAATGAAAACAGGGCATTTCAAAAGCAGACTAAATTTCATATTCACTAAAGTACAATTCATAATAATAACTGACAAGACTCTTTTCACCATCCTCATTCTTGATCACTACTTCGGGATTATGAAGTGACTGCTGAAGAGGCATGCTTGCGGTCGGATAATGTGATTGAGGTGTATAAACGACGGGCTGTGGTTCCATTTTAACTGCCATTCCAAGACCGCCTCCTCCACCTATACCACCACTGGACAGCAACTGCCTTAACATAATTCACCCGTCTAATGTTTACGTTCGTCCTCCTCTGAAACTTGCGAAGCATTTAGTTTTTATGAGCTACTCTCATCGATTGAAGATACGAAGACGCGAATTTGGTGGCATTAACTTTGCATATATAACAGTTGGTTCTTTCACTTCAAAACGAAGAAGTGAAGAATTGAAATGAAAATTTATGGGAAACGTTCGCAAAAATGATACAATTAGCGTGACTGTGAAGCATTTAAGAAGCAGCGAGAAATGAAATTGATTCGAGCAAGAAATGAAAGCAAAACATGCATTGAACATGTTAGTATAGTGAATTCTTTACAGACGGTTTATATGAGGTTTTAGGATTTCTGGGAGACAAATACTTACTTAGTAATTGAGAATTGACTCGAGAAATTGAGGATTAAGAATTGAAAACTTGACGGTTAAGGGCTGCTTGTAAGCGTCAGAAATAAGATTTATAGCACACTGCTAACATTTCGGTTTACAAAGTCACAATCATAGCGTTCTACAAAATAATGAAACAATGAGAGTGTTGCAAAACCAATCTAAGATTACTTCATGAAGGATTAACATCATAACGCTCAGGGGATTAACATCATACAAAAAAGTTGATGACGTTAAATGGAATTTATTATAGTTCGGTTGCATAAAATTTTAATGGCAATTTATTGAAAGTACTGAACATTCAATGACTGTGAACGCACATGGCTTAACGTGTGTCTTTTTTTTGGAGTCTTTCCTCAATTTATGTGAAATATCCCAATAATTGGATGTGAAAGCATAAAACTGGTTCTTCAAATAATTTAATTTTAAAGAATTTCACCTATTACTAGCTATCGATCCAGGTCCGGAGAAGCAACTAAGTGCAATAACGAGGTTTGAAACCGCACATGACCGAAAAATGAACATCCTTCGATTGGATATCCTCAGACAACTTCGAGTTGTTTTCAAATGGAGTTTTTAAAGAACGAAGCTGGTGCAACATCCTACGAAAAGCACTGACGGAAGAATAATTGACTTTGGTTTCAAATCCAAATTTTTATTTTTGCCCACTACCCTTCTTTCCATATCCAGCAAAATCCCCCAACAAAATCACCAGAACTTCGCCTTCTTCTCCTACAGCTCGAGTTCCTTCCTCATCACGTCGACAATCGATAGTCTGTTTTCGATGAACCATTAATGAGATTAATTAAGTGAAATAAAAATTGATTGCTATTAGAGATGAGATTGCGTTATATGCGTTGTTTGAATGCACTATTGGTTCAGTGAAAATGTTTAGTGAGCGATCATTATTGATTGATTGATGAATTTTGTGTTGCATTGCAACCAACAGAAGGAAGGTCGAAGCGAGCAAACGGCCCCTCTGCAGTGATCAGCAATCAGATCATTCACTCTAGCCATCTATCTATCCACTCTTTTTCAAACTGCGGCACAACAAAACATCCAAACCAATGTAATAATGTGCAATAGAACGCACTCGTTTCGTTGTTCTACAATCAAATGTGTTTTTTTAACTGAATCGCTCTATAATTTGTCATAACTGATCATGAGAAGTATTAACTGCCAAAATGTTCTAGCGAATAGATTGAACATTTTAAGGATGTGAAACGGGATAACCGTAATCTAATCTGCCGTATTCGCATAAGCACTGTCATCAATTAAGTAACAACGACACTAAAGATATTAGTCGACAAGACAACTCAATAAAATGTTCATCGTCCATCCGTTTGCATCATTTAGAACAGTCCTCATGAAGCAACTCAAATACCAAATCACTAAACTGTCAGTTGACATACTGCATTGTGCGTTTAAGGCATTCAAGTAATGGTTTCTTAATGTTTTGTTTCATAAATTTGTAATTACCACAAAATTAATAAGTGCACAAATAAGGTTCAGTTCCCCTTCATTGAGTCGATTCTCGTCGTCGAGCGAGCGAGCCGTATCAAGAGGGGCTCACCAGTAAGAAGTGAATCTGTTGAAATGACGATAAGCAATGCCTCTGACTTGGCTAATTCGGATAGGAAATCTGAGAGATCTCATCCGACTGTTTTGCTTCAAGATTTGAATAACAATAAGAGAATAGTTTGCGAAGAAATTGAGATGCTCTTCGCCTCCGTCCGCTGATGATGGCGCGAGGTAGCGAGATATTGACAGAATTTTGGGGTTAGAAAGATGAATTGTTATGCAACGGCATTGGTCTTAAAGGAATTCATTACCCGCCAGAAATTAGCATGCGTCTCGGAGACGGCACCATTGAAACAGTGAGAAATATCGCTTTTTAATTCAGATGTCCTCATGTGAGAAGTAAGGTTAATTTGGTGCACACTGAGACATTTCCTTAAGAGGAGATTTGTTACGTTTTGCTGTTGAGGGCTTTTTAATATTCACGACCGTAATCGAAGTCGAACTCCTGATCGATCACCAATCAGCGATTTTAATCGTTGTCTTCTAGTAACCTAACAGAATACGATAAATTTGTAAACAATAAACAAATCGTCATCTGTAAGAAACTACGATGAATGATGAAAAAAAAANAAAAAAAAACAACAAAACAACAGCACTAACGGAACAACTATCGAGCAGAGAGAAAACGAATTTGTTGAAATATAGGATTGAACTCTGAGAGAGTAATCGTTCATTACGGCGAAAGATAAGTTGCTCGTTAAGGTGCAGTTGACTGGACGGATTTAAGCACACGAGAATTGGAGAGAAGTGCATGCGATTTGATATGAAAGAGGAATGTGCTGAGAGAAGGAAGGAAACGATAGGAGTGAATAAATGAACTTGATCAAGGAGGAATTAGAAGTTTTGACAAGAAGAGATCTCGCAAGATGAGGACGTCGTCTCGTTCAAGGTAAGTGAATGACCACAGCAAACCAGTGGCTGCTCACTCAGAACTGCTGTTTTGGATTCCTAGTCAACACATTGGTACCATATGAGAACGATACGTCACGACTAATGAATGATACAGATGCATTAGAGTAAACAGATGCAAAAGATGTCATGCAAATGCTATCTATGCATGATCCAAACGACAACATATTACAAACAAATGAAACATTATTCATTCACTGCACATCAGATCATCGTTCTATTATAGCTCGCGCGTACTGCCCACAAAAATGTGAGTAAAAGTATGCATAGTATAAATGCTACAGTAAAATGGCATTGCAGCATAGTAGTCACCACTGCGTTCGCATTAAGCAGCAGCAGCCACATATTGTTTCTTTCGTATCATCGCGCTCGTATCGCAACAGCTTGTATTACGTCAGATAATATATTTCCAAAATGCCTTATAACATTACATATATTATCATCGTCACTGTAGTAATGAGAGCACAACGACGAACCATACCGGTGCCAATAGTAAAGACAAAGAGACAGATAGGTTGCTGATGCACAATGAACGATAACAATGATGATCTGATTGAAGAACATGTTGTTGTGCATAAAGGATGGAGGATAACAATTGCATTCAGTCATATTCTCTGGATGAGAGGTGCAGGGATGAATAACGGATGAATGGATGTTCAGATGCAAGGAAGGACAACGACGCCGCAACAGCATCGACGCTCGGTCGGTCGGTCCTTCACGGTTCTTCTAGAGGTGGAGTGGTGTGATTGTTGCTAGAGAACAATAAGAAAACGAAATATTCGGGAAAAAGAATGAGAGCGAACGATGAGAGCAGTGGCATTATAAGTGCACGGAGATATCGTTTGTGTTTGGGATGGTTAGATGATTAGGTGGTGAGAGTGGCACACTTGTGCAGCACGTTAATCTGACTGCTGCTGACTTTATGGTGTTGAGAGCAGAAAGACGGCGAAACGAGAGAGGCAAAAGGAGCGATGCAATGAGCACAGCACAAAACCACACCACGACAATAATCGCAGAGCTGCACCGCAGACAGCAATGGACGGACGGACGGAC